GCTATATGGCTTCTTCGAAGTCGCGTTAATAGAGCGGCGGCAAGGTCCTAGTGAGGAATATAAAGGGATACCCTAGGCTCCGTAGGAGAATGAGGTAGCGGAGCTTCGCGCGGTAGGTTTCGGCGGCAATAAATAATAGATAGCACTCATTAATAACCACTCGGTCTAGCCTTCCCCTGACACTTAGATCAGCGGCCTACTATAGGAAGTTATCGGTGATAGCCACCTCGGCCGAGACCAGCATAACCCTAGGCTAAGATTTACGTGCCTTGGGCTAGGACTTGTAGTCTAGGCCGGCATCGACGCAGCGTATGACCAGCTGCCTCTTTAACTCGGCGAACAGAGCTACTATAATGGTCACGCCTATACCTGCCAGCATGGCCGGGACCATAAAGACCAGGCTCTTCCCGCCGCCGGTTGGCAGCACGGCAACCAGCGGGCTCTACTTCGCCGCGGCTAACCTGACGGCCTCTTCTTACTAGGGTAACCGAAATTGGGCAGCATTATCACGCAGGATAGCTCGGAGTGCCCGTAGGATTATATTATCTTTCTTCTTATCCCCCACTACTGCTATTATACCTGCCCTTAGCTTCTCGAGCGAGGCGATCTTAGCCCGCTTCTGGGGAGGGTGGCACTTCTCCTCTCCGCTAGACTCGGCCGCACCCTTGCGCTTCGAGGACAAAGTTAACGACGGCGGCGGCTCTAAGGCCGATTACTGCTGCGCATCGCAGCCGAGGAACTTATGCCAACGACGGCTTACCTGCCCGAATATGTCTAGAGACTCGGCCGTTAGGCGCTTTAGTATATCGATCGTGATACCGTAGTTGGCGGCTGTCTGGCCGGTGTGATAGGCAGCTAGATCGTCTGGCGCCTCGTATTGCTCTGACTCGTTATCGTCGTCGCCGTCCTTAAAGTCTGCCCGAGCGGCCCCCCGGTCGCGAGCGTGCTTCTTGCTAATAGCGATGGCGATATAGCGCTAGTCTTAGAGCGTGATCCTGCGGCCGATGTAGTGGGAGGTCTACTTCCCCATAGCCCTAGATATATGACTGCCCTCTTATGGCCCCGTCTCGTTATGCTAGATGAAGTCGCTCGGCGGCGCTATCTTGCTATATAGCTCCTATCTGTCCGCCTCTTAGCGATCCATTAGCGGTTAGATATAGACTATGTATATTACGAGTAGCTACCTGATCCTCTCCGGCAGGAAGCGGGGGATTACCTTCGGCGAGTCGAAGTGGGCTAGAGACTTATAGTACTAGGTAATAAGCATAATATCGCCGTCGATAATAAAGATATTATGGTCCCTATTAATGCCGTTAACTAGGCGTAGGCCCGTGATCTCTTCCCCTTGGCTAGGCTGGCCGCCGGTAATATAGGAGAGGAGTAATAGAAACTCCTTGAACTTTTTTACTAGCTTTAGGTACTTCCTAATACCTACCTATTTCTACTCGCTAGCTTAGTTTAGGAACTCTACCTTCTGCGAGCCTATAATAAGGTCCTCGAGTATCTTGACCTCCTTGCCTGCGAGGTCGTTAGTATAGATAAAGGACCGGCCTCGCCTTATCTAGGTAAGATTATCCTTAATGCCGGCTAGAGGAATAATAAAACGCTCGTCATCGCCCTCCTTAAATATTAACTAACCCTATAGTAAGTCCTTGGCGTCTTTCGTTATCCTAGCCACTATATGACGAATCTTCTCTATTAGGATCGGCTTACCCATAAAGTATATTATCTCGCCGTCCTTACTCTAGGATACCATCAGCCGGCTACTAGTCTCCTACGCGATCTTCCTTCTATATAGCAGTAGGCTGAGCGTATAGCCCATAGGAGAGTATATCGCCTTATAGAGCCAGGCGTCTCGAACCTAGGCGAACCGTTGCGCGAGGTCCATTATCCCGGTCTACTCCCGGGTGGGTATAGCCCACTCTCCTAGCAGCGCCTGCCCCGTAAAGATAAGTCCCGTAAGCACGTAGGTAAATAGGTGGGTAGGTCAGAGCTGCCCCGTCTCGCCGTCGATTCCTAGCACGCCGACGAAGTGCCATAGCGGGCTCGCAAAAGGGTCCCTATCGAGCTACTATATCTAGAAGTCCGCCAGAATCTATAATATCTCTTCCTATAGCCCCTCGCCCGACTATTCCTCGTCCTATAGATACGCCTAGAGTAGCTCGAGGCTAGCCCTCTATATATACGTGAAGCAAAAGCCATATTCGGCAAATAGCGCGTCCTCCTCTAGTAATAGCATATTAAGGCAATAGCATAAGAACCGCTTTATATATACTAGGTAGCGATCTATGCTAGTCTTCTCTTATAGCGGCCTAAACGGTCGGCTATGCGCATCGTGAGGGTAGGGGCTAGCTAGGAGTAGGCGGGTCATTAGGGGCATACTCTTTAACCCGCCGATGTAGCGGTCGAAGAATAGACGATCTAGAGCCATAGCTATCCGTCGCAGCTCATCGTCGTCATAGCCGGGCATCCTACTATAGGCTTAGATATCCACTAGATTCCTCCCGGCGAAGTAGGCTAACTAGCCGGTCCTCTTCAGCCAGTTCGTCGTCTCGTGCCTTAGGATCCCCTCCTCTATGACCTTCTATATCTTCTCTTGCTCCTCCTGCTGCAGTGACTACCCTTAGGTGATATCGGCGATTATAGTCTAATCTTCCGGGTGCGTCTGCTGCCTATCGGCTATCGTCGCTCTTCTCCCCCTGCCTACCGGCGTTAGAGGATCTCTTGCTGCCGAGATAGTATCGCTGCCGCCGGTAAAGACGCCTACGTAGAAGTAGTAAATCGCCCTCTTTGGTCCTATAAAGAATATCTATAGACGGACGCTGGTCCAGAGATCCGCCTGCGCCCTGGCTCCTTTTATGTTGTGCTCGTTATTGAAGTGAACCCGTAGGCGCTTCTAGCTCGGCGTGAGGTGCCTGCAGCCCGGCTAGGTGCAAGCGAAGCCCCGGTGAATAGGGAGGCCCTCGATGGTCGAGCCATGGATGTGGCTGTGTGAATTGGTCTGGTTGCACCATAAGGCCGGCTTCTTTCCGGCATATGGACACGGCCTGGGCCTGGAATGCTATAAAGAGGTCTGGTATGAATAATAGCTGCCTCGAGCAAGTTATGATATAGGCTAGCCTGTCTTGATATCTTTCCTCGCTGTATCGTATAACGGCTGTATTTCCCCCGGCCTTCCTCTTACCTACCTTTAATGGGATTTTTAGCATCCACTCTTGCTTCCTATACTACTCCCTCTCCTCTATACGCCATAATATTCCATGCTAATATAAATGCTCTCTACTGCCCATTTCTGCTTTATTCTTACGGACTCTACTTCTACTATCGGCTCTTTACTACCCATTTTATGCTATATTCGCTAGCTATTAAGGTCCACGGATTACCTTGACCAAAGTAATCCGCCCATCTTAAACGCCGCACCTGCCAGCTCCCTATCCCCGATAGCACCACCGGCAGTAACTTATCTATATGTACCTATCTCTTCCCGTATGTGCTCGTGTCTGTCCTGTGTATATTTACTGTCCTCCTATTTATTATTTAACTCTTTCTAGACGGTGATTCAGCTCCCTTAAAATAGGGTCGTAAGACTTCTCCCATTGCGGATATCTTCGTTTGTATGCACCAATGAGCTCATGCATTCGGGTTTCCATATTGCGTATAGCCTGTGCTTGCTTTCTTCGCTTGATAACAAGGCTCTCTTCATCTGAGGTAGCCTCGGCCTCATCACTTCCCGAGACTGAATTTGAATCGCTGTCTGATTGGATCGCAGCGCGATTTCGACGCCTTTTGCGTCGGTTTAGTTGAGGATGTCGGAGATGTTCATAGGCCTCTAACCCCTTTCTCAAGAACTAGACACACTCGTTGACCTCGTCACATTCCTCGAACGTTTTAGCGACTTCCATCTGCCTTATCTAGCACCATTTCTTTGGAAAATAATATCTCTCAGGGGAGTTATCTAGTTCCAGTATAGGTGTTGGAGAAGGGTTTTGTGGCAGCCTAGTTGATGCTTGCTCCCGAAGACCAACTAATTGAGCATAAAGTTCACTCTCAGGCATTCGAATCAACTCCTGCTCGGGTTGTATGACATAGGGCATATAGCTCTTGGAAAACAGAGTAGTTGCTAGTTGCCAGCCGTCAATAGGATGATGTTGGATGTTGGATGCTGGCAGTGGATGTGCAAGAGTTCCAGTCTGCCGGGACCTGGCGTAGTGTCTGATGAGTCCCTGATGCGCACTGGGCCACCACGTGGGCTGCTTTTCCTCTTTATCCTTGCGTATAAATCCCCGACTGTGTGGATATGGGAGAATCCAATGGCTTGCAAGGAATGACCTTTTCAGCTCCTGCCGCCACTTCCGCGCGCCAGCCTTACCTCGTACGGTTTTGACGGCATGGAAGCTCTGTTGGAATAACATGCGGTATGGCTTCTCGCTCTACCCTTGCCGCTCAAAGTGATCATCTGTCGATTTCCAGAGCCAAGCAAATAAGACATAAATATCCTTTACCGCCAAACGGTTTCTATGTGCAAGCTGAAGTGGCTGGTACTCTTTGAGCATGGCATTATTGACACTGTCATAGCAGAGGGGAATCTCTCCTGATAATGCAGCCTCTATATATTCCGGCTTTAGAGCCGACTTGACGTGAAAGAAGACGTCCTTGCGGAAGGCACATAGGCATAGTTCTCGAAGGTACCTCTCAACGAGGTCGAGGCACGTGGGAATAGCACTGAACTCGAGCATCTATTGATAAGCCTTGTCCACTCGGATAAAGTCGATTCGTATATCTCGGACTTGGTGGTACCGAGCGCGGTAAACGGTCTGCATGGATGGGTTATTGAATATTATGTAGGCAGCATGGGGTTGGCGGAAAGTGAGCGTATTCTATTCGATCTTATCGAGAAACTAAGCATAGCCGTATATCTCTATAGTGCGCCTGAATCTAAGACCCTCGTAGCGGCGGAGTCCGTTTGGCTGACGTGCATCGGGTTGATATCGTATGTCCCGCTAGCAGCCGCCGACCTTCTGTATTAACCCGCCTGTATACGAAAACTGGAGATAGCGAAGAAATATAAGCATTATTCTTGTGTGTTCCCAGGTCATAAAGTGGGGGTCTTGGAAGCTATATACTATCTCGAACCCTAAGCAAAACTTGTTGATGTTCCACCGCACCTATCGAAGTAGAGTGTCGGTTGTGAAGCTATAGTAAGGGGAGCTGTCGTCGGTAGGTATAATAAGGCGCCTATTATGGAGCTCTTGGGATCTCATCTGGCTATTAACAGCGTAGAATAACGCCTTAGAAATATGATATTCCTCTCTGATGCCAAAGGATTTCTACATAGATCCTAGTAAAGCGTAATAGCATCGAAGCTTTGTGTATAGGTATGCCTTGATTAACGCTTCTGGTTAATGGCTAAGACTACCTCCAACGAGTTCCTATGTCTTTCTTAACTTCTTGTTAAGGGCAAGCGTCTCGATGGCTGCATTTGTGAACGGATAGATATTCCCCGCTGCAAAAACTTCCTTAACACTGGGGTAAAATTGAGAGTAGAGAAGGCTAGCAGCGCGGCGTAGAGAATGCTTTCCGGTCTCGATGGTTAAGCTTCTAGTGTCTCGAAGTATACTGAATGGATAAGAGACCTGCTTTTGGGTCTCTTGGTCGCTAGCGGGCCTACTGCTGACCTGGAGGCCGTATGATTCTAGGCAATATCGCCGATACAGCAGCGTTTCCGCTCGTTTCTCCGTTGGATCCTCGATGGCTCTAGCTGCTAGTTGGCTCCAGGGTATAACTTGAGATGCCTGCTGAGGGCAAGTCTCTTTCCTAATATTAAAGTAGATGTCTGTTGTGGTGTGGCACTTATTAATAGCGCTGGCCTAATACTTTTGAAATCGCGATACTATTTTCTCCTAAGTGATATCCTTTGTGAGAACCTTTAAGTTCTTCGCTTGAAGAAGAATAGTAACGTCTTGGAACTACTGGAATCCTGGTTCTTAAACTGTGGCGAGGATATTAGCCCACATATCTGCCAGCGCTTCCGGTGGTAGAAAATATATTAATTGCTGTTCCCGTGCCACCGTATGCACACGTCGAGATAGTGTCTCTACTCCACGAGCGGTAGAGTTATAACGACTGTGGTTATAGCTCGATGGATAGTGCTGGACGTGGGCCGTGCTGTAGCATTGGTATATCGCAGGGAGGAGAATGCTATCTATCCACAGCTGAAAGTCTTTATCCCTGAGCTTACTGCATGTCTGCTCTTCTCGATATAGGTTCGGGAATAGAAGGTATAAGGATATGTCTTTAAACCTAATAACGCGGCCGAATGTATAGTGAGGAATCTGGTGCATGGGCCGGTGGACTTGATGCTGCTTTCTATTCCTATCGAGGTATGTGACCGGAACTGATCGAAGGTGAAGGTTAGACTGAAGATCGGATACGGTTATCCGAGTAGGAGACCAGCGAATACCCCGCTTAGCGATAGCAAGGTTACTCGGGAAGGCTAAGACGCTATCTACGTCAAAGGTAACCCTAGTATCGTTCGAAACCCTCTTATCTTTATCTAAGTAAATATGGGGTATCTTAGCTCTCGAGTTAATACCACAAAAGACTTGTCTTCTAGTTTCGGGGCTCATTCTTCCGGCTAGGTTATCTCTCTGGTGTGCGATGGTCTTATTGCTAAGAACATTAGGACCTAATTCGGGTGTGAACTCGAGGTATACGGCAAGACTGATATGTTCGTTGGGATCTTCCATGTGGCTATACCGTGCTGCTCTATGGCAGTCGTTGCAGCATCCTTGGAATTTCATAAGTTGTTCTGCTAGCTCTTGTGCGAGGTGCCCAACTGGATCCGGCTCGCTGTTCTCCATTTGTGGTGAGATCTCCGAGGTCGTGTCGAAAGTAATAGCCTAGCCCACGCCCGGGCTCTCGTGTCTCGGGCTAGATACCGCATCTATAGCCTCTGCGAAAGTCCCAGCATCAGTCATAATATCCTCTTCTATGTCTTGTAATGGTTGAGGATTAACTGGGGGTAGGAACTGTGAGATGTCCGTCTTGTCTGGCTCTAGTGTATCGGTGGGATTGGCCGGGTTATAGGAGTCGCTAAATACGTTCACCTATCCGGCGCCTCCTCTTGACGGTAGAGGAAGCAGAGGGAAAACTAGGCTGTGAGAGTCGGCGTGTACCGTATCGCGTGGCACGGGGGCCGCATTCTGCCGTCTCGCCCGTCTCCGCTTTATATCCGCCGCAGCCTTGGCTTTAGATGTGGAATACCTTCGAGGCCTACCACGCTTCCGCTTTGATGGGATAGTGTTATCTCTGGCGTTATCTATGTTGTGACTATGAAATAATTAAGGGAAGGAGATTCCATAGGACTATTATCTAATAAATCGGTATTTCCCAGTACGGGCGTATGCAGTGTATTGCTGAGATTATCTAGAGGTTGGAACTCAATCCCATTTCAATAGTCCATATATGAACTCATCGCAACCCCTTAATTAAACTCATATTATATAATATGCGTTTCAACGGATGTGCAATTGATCCGGTGCTGCTTGGAGGAAGGTTTTAAAAAAGCAAATATAGATGCTAAATGAGGAATGGCGTCTATTGCTATGCACTAACCCAAATACGGTGACCGCAAAAACCAAAAGCGGTTGAGTTTGACCGCTAAAATCTGATTGGCTGCAGCATTTGAGTTAACGACGAGGTCAACAACTTGCAAGACGAATGTAACCACAATGACGAATATGAGCTTATTGATACATAGATAATATAAGTTTAGAGACCCTATTATATGCTTAAATTCTATTATTTATAGTTTTATCGCAGGTTTAGGGTCTAGTTTGAGTCGGCAAATATATGATGGTCTCGAGAGAGAATATAATAGATAGGTAGCCTTAGGAATACCCTAAGTATTTAGGATGAATGTAGTATTACTTAATTAGATACCAAATAGCTAGGATTTCTATACCACTATAGTATATGGGTCTAGACAAGGGAGTTCTAGGGCTAACATAGCATACTAGTACTGCGTAGGTAGAAACTACTTCCCGGATACTTATGTAGATCTAGTATATGATAAGAAAGAGGGAATCATAAGCTACGATTCGTCTAGAGGGGCGGCCCTGCTTAGAAGGGGGGATATAATACTGCTACCCACGCTTATATACCTTTTTAAGTAGTTCGGAGTTAGGAAGCTTATTTATAATTAGCTGAAGCGTTTCCCGGAGTCTAAGCTAAGTTATTTAGCCGATCGGCTCGAAAAGTATAATAGAGTAGGCCTTAGGCTCGAACTAACCTAGCCCGAAGATAATATTATCGATGATTTCCTTCGGAAGAACCCTGGGGTCATAGAGCTCTACCGACCAAAGTATAAGGCCCCTGATGGATTTAATCGATTGCCTACGAGTGTAACTAGAGGCGACCGAGATATCCTGGACAGTTAGAACCCGCCATAAGGGCCCTCCACTAATGTTATCCTGGTCAATGAAGAGCTAGTATTATTTGATTAGATGGATACCCCTTAGGTCCTTACTACGACGACTGTTGCTATTAATGCTAACGCGAGGAAGCGGGTTTATATTGAAGATATTGCGGAAACATAGGAAGCCGCATAGCCTATCCGGAAGGCAACCCTAACTAAAAAGCCTATGGTCATAAAGAAGGAGAAGAACCTGAGATTCTAGACACTTAAAGAGAAGCAAGCCTCTATTTTATAGGAGCTAAGGGATAAATATAGGACGAAGAAGATCTTAATTCTAGCCGATAAGCTATTTACGCTGCTACCCCAGCTGGGTAGAGAGGTAGGCGAGGATTATTAAGATATTGCTAATAGCATTAAGCAGATTACCTATATCGAACCTGCGCCCTATATAGTCGACGGAGAGCGAGGATTATCTAATTAGAAGGCTAGTGGTACGAATATAGTCTAAGTTGGCGAGTAGGACTAGGGGGAAGCCTACTGGAAGTCGGTCAGCGAGAGAGTAGGTATAAACGTAATCCTCATTAACGAAGAAACCTAGACCGAACGATCCGACGATTATATAAGTGAGCTTTAACCTAGTGACTATATCGTTATAATGGACGTAGGAATTGCTGCAGAGGAGACGAAGATAATAGAAGTCTACTAGAATAAGCCAAAGCTAGAAGAGACCGCGACCCCTAGCATAGAGGGCAAGGAACTATTTAATCAGAAGGTTAATACTATTAAACTCATAGTTAGGCATTATAGCAGGGCGGTAGCCTAATCGTAGGAGCTACCATGTATCCTCGTAAGGCTCGATAATCTAGAAGGTAAGGTAGTAGAAGCGATAGTAGATATAGGGTCGGAGGGAAACATTATTTCCTAGGAGCTTATGAAAGCCTATGGCCTTTAAATTACCCTGGCTCGTACCTTAACTATGTCCTTCTCTTAAGACCGCATTATAATGCTAGGCTAAATGATTATCCGGCTATACCTAGGCAACGTATGGATATAGTAGAAGATATACGTCGCGCCTTTAGCTAGGATCTTAATTCCCTTTATTCTCGGTATGCCTTTCGTCCGCTCTATAAGGGTATTATTTGATTATTTAACTAAGGACGGTACTATGCTCCTCCGATGCTAATTAGGCAATACCTGAGTCGTTACCCTAGCTGCTAGATCTATTAAGTGGGAAGCCCCTACTTACGGAATAGATAATAGCGTGCTACTAAAATAAATATTAACCTTCTCTCTAAACCTGAGGTTAACTAGGAGAGTAGTTTAGAACCGGATGATGTCCCGTCCTCACTGCGGTGGATAAGTCGGGAGTCAAGGGAGGAGGTAATTAATATTATTAGATTAGTAATGGCTAGATAATATAAAGTAGCCCTATAGGATATGAATTAAATAATTAAAAGATAGTTAGGGAAGAAACGCGAAGTCCGAAAAGACCGAGGCTCGATAACGAAGGGAAAGCTAGAGGAGATACTAGTTAATACCCTCTATAAGAGAAAGGGGGTAAAGATCCACCTACGCGATGATATTCTATCGGATAGATCTACCCTAGAGGGAGACCTAGAGTAGAAAGAGAAGAAGTGGAAGAAAGTAAAGGAGAAATTGTAAGAGGATTCAAAATACCGAGAATAGATTATACTAAAATTCTCCGATATCGAGAAGGGAACCTAGATTAAGGGAGATAGGCTTTAGGGACTAATTGATTAAGTGAAAGATACCCTTATACCTGAAGAATTGGACGTCTTTCTCGAGATTATATATAATAGAGAGGCGGCACTTACATGGGAATTCTTAGAGTACGGGAAGCTTAACCCACTTATAGCGCCTCTATAGGTTATTAGGGTTATTGAATATAAAGCCTAGTAGGTAAGAAGTATACCTATTCTTAAAGGATATAAGAAGGATATTATTAGACTCCTGAGAACCCAGCTAGAGAGAGGAATCCTCGAAGAAGGTCACGGCCCCTATAGGAACCTATTCTTTCTTATTTAGAAGAAGGATAGTTAGTTTCGATTGATTAATTCGGCTACTTTAATAAATAAATATACCATAAGGGATAGCCTTATCCCTCCTGGCTATAACGAGTTCTCGGTAGACTTTGCTATATGCAAGATGTTGTTACTACTAGACTTCTTCTCGGGATATAATTAAATGGAGCTTACTAAAGTTAGTAGAGATTTGATAAGCTTTATGATACTAATTGGTCTACTTAGGATGTATACGCTGCCGCAAGGGGCTATTAATTCTATTGCCTAGTTTACCCGGAATATCCTTTGAATCCTAAGGGACTTAATTCTAGATGCATATAGGTTATTCCTTGATGATATCTGCGTGAGGGGTCCTATAATGGATTACGAAGGAGAAGAAGCTACTCTAGGGATACGCCGTTTTGTCCTAGAGTATTTGATTAATCTGGATAAGGTGCTTATAAATATCGAGCTATCTGGCTATACTATCGCTAGATAGAAGTCTTAATTCTATAAGAAGATAGTAATGGTAATTGGATACCTCTGCGGTATATACGGGAGAAGCCTAGAGGAGAAAAAGGTAATAAAGATCTTAGAGTGGGAAGTCTACCTAGATATAGGGGAGGTAAGGTCTTTCCTTAGTATCATAGGATATTATCGCTAATAGATTAAATGGTTTACCTAGATTGCGAAGTCCTTAATGGACTTATTAAAGAAAGACGCGGAGTTTATCTAGGGACCTGATTAGAAGGAAGCTATAGAAACCTTAAAAAGGAAAATTACTTCCCCTCTGATCCTAATTACTCTTAATTACTCGGAAGAGGCTAGGGAGGTAATTCTAATGGTCGACGTAAGCCTAGTAGGCTGGGGATATATCCTAATGCAATTAGTCGATGGGAAATAGAAGCCGATCCGGTTCGAATTAGGACTATAGAATACGGCCGAAACTAAGTACGATGCGATAAAGAGAGAATGCAGAGCGGTCCTATATGCCTTCCGGCGACTTAGAAGTATAATCTACGGCGTTCCCTTTATCCTAGAGACCGATTCATAGGTATTAGTCCATTAAATCAATAGAAAGGCAGACGATATGCCTAGATCGCTGGTTTTAAGATAGATCAGCTATATCCTTCTCTTCGACTTCGTGGTTAGGCATATACCCGGGAAAAAGAACCGTGTCGCGGATAGC